GTAGACATGTGGACATAGCCTAATAATCTGTAGGTCAAATTATTTTAAAACTAAATTTTAGACAGTTAAATTCTGTGCACAGAATTTACGAGTAGAAGTATATAAATTAAATTATATTAAGTTATACTTATGATTACAATAAAAATTAAAAGATTAAATTTAGATTAAAAAAAAATATATATATATAAGATTGATGAAAACTTGAACGATATTTTTTTAATAAAATCGACATGAGTAATTGGCAATTTTCATATTTATCGTGTAGTCATCTAGAAAAACCCCGGGACTCAATTCGTGTGAGTACCTTTTTATCGATTTTTTATTTGTTATGTTATAATTTTAATTAATTTTTTTCAACGCGTATTTAAGTTGAGTCTATTAATAAATATTTTATATTAAATTATAAAATATACTTGATTTAATAGTATATTTTTTTTTATGTGATTGATTGTTATTTTTAATTTCTTACTGCAAATATGCATTTTCTTATAGTTTCCACCTTTAAATTATTTTGTATTTTGAATCGTGTTTTTAATTAAACTTAACAGCTTCAAATATTATTTTAAGCACTTAATACCTTATAGTAAAACGAATAATATATATATATATATATTTATCTGTATAGATTTGCAAATAATTATGCAATGTAGCCAATCACGGAATAAAAATAATATTTTAGATGTCATATTTGTTGAAATGAACAGGCGATTTGATGAAAACGTTGAGTTTTATGCAGTTTTAGGTCTATTAGACCAAACCTCAAAAAAATATATTTTAGTCTGCGACACGGCAAAATGTACGAGAAACGATATCGATAGATACGGCGGCAGCGGCGGCGGCGACGGCGGCGGCGGCCAATGTTCGACGTAGAAACGATTATTTTCGGGTAGCTGACGTTAAAAATTACGTGATTGAAAAACGTTTCGACCGATGGACGTACACACCGATCGCGCGGGAGGAGCGTACGAAAATCATCGGTTGGCCTGGCTGTGCGCGCGGCGCTTTCGGTTCGAAACGCGGTCAGTCGTATACGATTCGGGTGAAATCAGTGGCGTAGCCAGGATTTTTAAATAGGGGGGCTAACCACTTTTTTGGATAAGTAAGGTAAGAGAGGATATGAGAATTCACCCTTAACCCCCCCCCACCATCTACCACCAAGTTTCTAAACTTAATTCAAGCATTTTAGTATGGTTTTAAAAATATTTATTAATATATAATTTATAATAATAATAATAATAATTTTGGTTTTAGTGTTCAGTCCTTTGCTCCACTCTGACAGCTGCATCCTCTTAGGCGAATTTCTGGTAAATTCAGTTATTATTTCGCTTTCATCGAATTGCTCTTTTTTTATTTATATAAGCCATAGCTAACCCATTCAGTCTGTTTTCCGATATAGTGCTTCTTAAAATAAATTTTAAGCGATTAAGTGCTGAAAACGTTCTTCCCGGAGTGAAAGAGGTAACTGGTAACGTGGCGAATAATTGTAAAAGTATTTTTATGTTAGGTCGAAGATTGGTGCGAAGAAAGAGTGAATCAAGAGCAGAATTCGGTTTTGGAAGAGTATTTTGACTCTATTGTTGCCTCCATATGAACAGGTCAGCTCTGATTGTAGATGAAGTGTCATCATGGAGATCTTGGACATATATTTTAGCAGCTTTTATAATATTTTTATCGTCATACATATTTAAATTGGCCGGAATAAGTCCTTCAAGTGGCATAACATCAATAAGCCTTTGATTAAAACGAGCATCCCATTGATTCTATTAAATAGTCAAGATACATTATGCATATAAACACGGCCCATGGGGGGGGGGCTTTAGCCACCTTAGCTCCCCCCTTGGCTACGCCACTGGGTGAAATGCGATCGGGGGAGAAAAAATAAAAAAAAATGACGCATAAACAATAATAAATACGCGACGGCCGACGACGCGACTATCGGTCGGACCCGGTCGATAAATCTGAAACGTATTCAAACGGCTATCCGGGTAAGCGGATAGGTTAATTAGACGCCCGGTGTTGGCCAGGTAGCTCGCAGTTTGAGACCGTGTGCACCAGTGTTGACTTGACCGGAGCTGCGCACCGCGGTGGAACGCGCGGCGCGATCGCGATCGTGTAAAACCCGTGTGTCGTTCCGGCGGTGGACATGCGCGCGCGCGTATGCCAGCGGGAGTTCTGGCCGGGGCTACCTGCTGCCTCGGTCGTACGCGGACAGCGACGGATTCACGTGTATTTCGAACGACGAATAATAATAACGTCCAACAAACACGTCCGCGGTGATAACTGCTACTTTATCAAGTGTCAACGGCGAAACTTGTATTAATTACCGTGTCCCGGCGACGCGTAAACACGATTAGTCCGACAGCGAACTCGCCACCATGCGGTGTGCACCCAGCGGTGGCGGGTTGACGCGTGTTCGCGCGCGCGCGCGGTCGGGAACTCGAGCGGAACGGCACCGAGAAAAAAAAAATGCGGAGGATGTAGTAGAAACGTGTCAACGGTGTTGAACGGTTCGTAATTCGTTATAAAAAAAAAAAAAAAAAAAAAAAAAAAGGGGGAAAAATCTCTCGACAGGATGTGTCTACAGGATCGACTATCAATGCAATCGTTCGAAACCGTTGTATCCTTTGGTCTGTGGACACCTCACAGCAGCCTTTTTCATAAAAAAAAAAACCTTAAAAACACCCATCTCCGTCGAGGTGCGCGAAGTAACCATTCGAAAAACTGTTCCGTTTTCGTTTTTCAACGAATCGTTTTCGGTTTACAGACATTTTTTCAAAAAATAACCATTTGAACGCAACAGTTTTCTCGAGTTGTGACGACGGTTTTCACCGTAAGCACTACATCTTTTTCCGTTTCGCAAGAAGTCCGTGTGGTCTAAGTGCATTTCCTCCGATTCGCTAGTCCGTTTTACGCTTCAGTTTCGTTACCCATTGTATGAAACGGTTTTACGCGTCGAATTTCTGAAAATGCCAAATATTGATGATCGCAACGCTTACGCATGCATGCTGTTTTACGTAGAAAATTTTTTTAAAAAAATTATTACATGCGTTTTTCTTGGTCCGCGAGTTCAATTATCATTGCGTGTGTAGGTATAGGAATACGAGTTGGATTTTGCGCATCATCAACTATAAATTTCGTACATCTTTGTTTACATAACCGGTTATTGATCGTAACGTTTCCATTTTCGAATTTAAAAATGATCTCTATAAATTATTTAAATAACAATAATTTATGTTATCTTAAGTTTTTCATTGGGAAAAAAATACATACATTTTGCTAAATAATTTATGGAATAAGCTAAATAATTGTACAAATATACATATATGAAAACATATTATCTAAGAAATATTTTTCAAATCGCACCTAAAAACAACTATTAACTAAACACGTTCGCATTTAGGAATTTTAATTTATATACAATATTTGTGCGTTACATCATATTATTCTCTTTGTCTTCAAAAAAAATAAAATCAAGAACTATTAACTAATCTAGTGTCGCAAATATTTCGTGCGACTACTAAAAATTGCTCACCGACTAAATATAGTAAAAAATACTTGTTAATATCAAAAAATAACTCATGATCTTTGTAACTCGGAGTCACTAAAAATCAAAAAGAAAATTTAGCACCCATATAGGTATAACGTATAATATAATTAAAATAAGTCGTATTTTCGTCAACTAGGAATTTAATAGACTCTTTAGATTTAATATGCATTTTGTTAAATAAATCATAAGCTATCATACGTATAGTTCATAAAATTCTTTTTATACATTATCCATAAGATTATGGAAGTCGAATAAATTATCACATATTATAATAGGTTATAAAATATCATATCATTATTTAAATTTAACCATCTGATGCCTACTTCTAATCACCAAAATAATTATCAAATATCAAAAAATATTCAATGTTTACCCAAGAACTCAGTTTACATTAAACTCCATAAATAAATCCTTACGTTAAAGTCTAAATAATATATAAATCAAATCGATAGTGAATTAGTATTGGATAAATTCATGCGTCCAATTTTTATTCAAATACAAATATAGAGTATTATACGTTATTTGTACCTATACTATATTGAAATTTTAAAAAAAATGTGTTGATTAGGTAAGTAGTACTAAGAGCGCTATCTGGTTTTTAATATGACCGTTTGAAAATTTTTTTTAAATTTTATTTCCTGAAAGTAGTCTGAAATAAGAATTATAAAATACAAGGACTGAAGTAAACCATAATAATGGTTAGGTTAACCATAATAATAATACATAATAATGTAAATATCATATGTAATAATGTAATAAATCATTAATAAAAAATTAACAATTTTAATAGATTATTTTAGAGTTCGGATTCATTAATTATTTAATTACTTAAGTTTAAAGCTTAAAGAAGTTGAATATATTATTAATATAATCGTGAATTTTCTTAAAACTCATTATAATTTAAATTTTAATATTTCCATGGTTTCCAAAATGAATTCGACTGTAAATACTGTATGGTTTAATAAACGTCTCGTAAACATTTCCAGTCTTAATATCCCTAAATTTAAAGTTATATCAAGTGAAAACTTAATTCAGCAAAACTTAAATTTGCAGATATAATTAAGATAGTTCATCGTAATAAAAATGTTTTTGAAAGCTACCAACTATAAAATTCTAAAAACTAAAATATTAATCTGAAAATTGGTGTTTAATTTACACGCTAATGTAACGATTACGCAGACATGAAATTGAATAAAATTTTTCACGGCTCATAAATGTGTTATCAAAATAACAGGAAGAACATTAGTAGAAAAACACAACCCTCCTTTTTAAAATTAAAGAGTGCAATAACTCTAATGATGAAAATTTAAAAATAAATAACAAACCGAATTAGTCAAATAAAGGAATGGAAAAAAATTTGCCTGGAAGCAGCAATAATTATTTCAGTTCGTCTCCGTGGTTGCTATAAACAGATATTTTCATTTGTAGTTTCAATAAAAACATCCGACTAAAAATGAATTCAGAGTCGGAACCAGATGTAAGATGATGAAAACCAAACGTACTGTTTAAATATTTGATTATTTACAATTTACTAAAAATGTTTGAAATAGATATGTGGTTGGGAAGTTAAATACAACAAACAACGCGAATTCACCGACAGACTTATGACTTTGTTGTACTCCTCAAGATCGTTTCGAAACAATGTTTTTCCCACGGTCGAAGAAGAAAATAATGAATGTGACAAGATGAATCAATGCAAGTGTGAAGTAAGAAAATCTTTTTAGTAAATTTTCATTAAATGAGATTAATAAAATATTAAAACTAAACCATGTATTTAAATTGAGCATAAGTACTCTATTTTTAATCATTATCAAGTTTAAACTCTATACTAATACATTAATACATAACATAAAGTATATAGGTATTTAAAAAAATTACATCCCTGTATTATCTAAAAATTTAAAATTAAAAAAAAACAATTTTTGACAATCCTTTAAAAAAAACATATGATTAATTAATTGCATTGAACTTAAATTTACATTTGTGTATTATTTATTAAACTTGTATCTAATTTTTTGATCTAAAATATATTAATTACTAATATTATTTAATAAAACGGTTTTAAATTTTATAATTTGTCCTAAAGTTGTTAATTTATCTTTTTTTCCATACCATTAACTTTATATTTATTCATTAGTTATTAAAATACTTAATTCCTAATTCAAAATTACAAGTCTTAGAAATCACAGTAAGTAACAATGAGTATTAAAGATTTAATTAAAACAAAGTGCAAGTAAAAATCAATGCGTTTTTCGCTTTAATCTGAATACAAATATTATACACTTGAATATGCAGTCAATGATCTGAAATATTACTTATTGAATATTAGCGCTTACCAATATAAGTGTACTTATTGCAAGTATTATTTAATATTATTTAGACCGAACTTGAAGAAAAAAAAAACACAATTAAAAAATTAACAACGGATTTGAAATGTAAAGAAGACGAACTTTGTAATGTACGCAAGGAACTTAATAACTTATATAGTCGATCAAGGGAAATGGAACTTCAAGGTATAAAGTCGAAAGAAATGAAAGATCAACAGAAACGGGAACAAGAAATGTTATCGGTAAAATTTAAGACTGTATGTAAAAAATTACATGAAACCAACATTGCATTTAATGAAGCCAAAATGATAATAAAAAACAATATATCGCATATTTATAAAACAGTTTCGGCAATATCAGAAGTTACAGAAGAAACTGAACAAAACAAAATTACACTCGAAATGCAAAAACTAAAAGATGAAAAACTATATTACATGGCCAGAAAGATCAAAGAACTTCAGCGAGAAAACGATTGTAATGTTTTGAAGATCAGTAAGCAGAGAAAACAGTTGCAAGAATTTCGCGACAAATACATGCAAAATCATGATTGTTTTTGTTTAGAAAAAAAATTTTGCCACGTTCTCCAAACACTAGCGAACAAATCTAACAGTGTTATCAGTTTAAATAAATAGTACGTGTTATCAAAAATTGGTAACAAAGCAGCTATTATGAAAATAATTATCGTAAAGGTAAACAACTGTAAAACTTCTTTCAATGTAATTTATAGACAATACAGTTGTCCAACTTGATATGTATGAACAATCAACTTATGTTCTAAGTGTCATAAATAAAAATAACAATCAAAATATCGGTTAAAATATGTTTTATAGTCATTATACAAAATATTTATAACACAATAATAGGGCAAAACTCCTTTAGGATCAGGTGAGACGCCGCGATCGTATCAGATACAAGGATTGACGAAGTGATGTTTCTGTATTGGTTTTTTAAATTTGAAACCTATGTTCCATTGCTCTCGAAAACAATTATTCTGAGTGATAAGGGTCAAATCAATTAGTATATATTTTTTAACATGTCTGATATAATAAAAGAACTATGTATCTAAATAATAAAGGTTGAAATTTTAATGTGAAACGTTTTTGTGATTCTTCAGTTATTATATATGCTACGGCTAAAATCCGAAACATGGCTAAAGTGCACATTATCCAGATATTGTGCACACTATCTACACTGGTTGGATAAAGTAAACAATTAGCATTTGAAATCATAGTTTTGTATACATTACCCGGCTAATGTAACTTTAGTCATTTTGACACATGACATTTTGAATTGTATACAACAACCGATACATTTATTTGTTTTGCAATTTGATTTACACGCACAACGCTAAGTTTATTTAATTGTTAACTTATATCAATTAATTTTATTGAAATAAAATATAATTAAGAATTTATTAATATTATCTTGCATTAGCCATAACACGATGACTAAAGCTATTTTAGCCGGGTAATATGTACAAAACTATAATTTTAAATATTAATTGTTTACTTTATCCAACCAGTGTGGCTAGAGTGCACAATAACCGGATAATGTGCACTTTAGCCATGTTTCTGACTTTAGCCGTAACATATATACTACAAGGAAAATTCCATAAACAATTTGTTTCTAATTTCTAAGGCTTTGGAATAAAAAATTAAAAATTATATGCATTCTTAACTTATAGTGTGTTTTCGTGACGTCATTTTGTCAAAATGTATTAATCAAACACTCATATTTTTTAATTATTTTAAATTAAGCCTAGTCTGTTTATATTTATCATTAATATATATTTATGAGGGACTTTTATTACATTTCCAAGGCATTTTTTTAAAATTTTTTTAAAATTATTTTTGAGAAAAAAGCTAAGAAAACATTTACAATCATTTACGAATAGCTTTAAAAAGTCTTTTGAAAATTAAACCATCTATAGCAAACAACAATATGAGTATTCATTAAAAAGTTCATGTCATAGAGTCAAAATAAATGTTGATTTAATTTGTATATATACCTGATATTGTATACAATAATAATTAACTAATAACTAACTTTTAAAATATTTATAGATATTTTAAAAGTTAGGAAAGCCCAATGTGCGAGCATGATGAATTTCTGATTATTAAACACGTTTTAATAATTAAAACGTTGGAATTATTCCATTTATGATTTAAAAATAATTTGGAAACTAATAACAGAATAAATAATAGATCATGTGTAGGAATCTAAATAAATGAAATACTCGTATCTTAAATTGTAAATAAAGCATCACTATTTTGGTATTAATTTTTTAATAGCTATTATGAAGTTATATTAAATACTCATACTTTTATATTTCATAATACAAGCTAGTATTAATATATTTGTATACATTAATATCAATAGTTATAACTACATACTGATAACTAACAGGCCATCGGACGGATACAAATGGGATATAAGGTAAGACAATGTTTATAAACATAAAAGAATCAAATTAATAAATATAATCAATATACCTGTATTCATAAAACCATACATTTTGCCGTATTTCAACGTTTATATACGTAATAAAACAATAAACTAAAAACATTCAAAATGTCATCAAGCAATGAAATAGCAAAGAGTTAATAATTCTGAAGATAAGTAACAAATAAAAATAAAAATTATCTTATTTCTTATTTAGGATTGAATTTTAAATGTTGAGTAATAAAAATTCCAAGCTTTTAAAGTGACACATTTATCCTATTCCAACCGAAGTATTCACGTATTTGTAAGCAATACAATTCAAGTTGAGCTACATAAAATAGATAATTAATAGACAACTCTTTTTTTTTAAATATTTATTATAAATCATAGTTACTATTTTGCTGCATTGCACTACAACACTTTTTAAATAATTCAATTTGGATAAAAAGTAATAAATACAAATAATTAAACAAGTGAACTAATATTTTTAACCAAAATAAAATTTTGTTTAATTTCGGTTTAGCATAAAATATTGTGAGTAAAAATGATTAATATATTGCACAATCACTGTCTAAAGATACAACGAAAATCACTTGTCGTATAAAATTATAATTATACAAAATAACTATGGACACCTAAACAAAAAAAAAAGTGTTGAATAAATGTATTTAAGAAATATTTATTCAAAACGTCCCAATATGATGAGGTTATTAAAGATTGGATTGTCTGATGTTTATTTAAATAAAAAATAAATGAAAACTGATTATTTTCAATCAATCCCACGTGACTGCCTGTCAATTTGAAGATAGTAGGTTACATGAACTATGAAATATCATATTATTACTATTATTAGTTACGAATATTTTGATGTATTGAAATGACTGTCACTGTCAAAACATAAATAAATGAAAATTAATAATGATTATTATATATATACACACGCAGTCGCGTTATACACCGCTCATGTACTCTATATATACCGGTATGGTACTCGAATGAGGTAATGTTAAACATCAAATTAAATTAAATAATTCACCACAATGATAGTATGCTGGTCAATTGCTGACTGAAGAAAACCGACGGTATAATGTTAGACTATGTACTGAGTATAATAATGTTCACATTTATTTTCAACAATTCTATTACACAACCGTTGGATAAAAAATACAAGATTAATTCCTTCCCATAACTATAATTATACATTTTTCAAATATTACATATTCTATTTAACTATTCATTACGATTCAATTGTCTATGATGTAACACCTAATAATGATTAGTAATTAAGTAATTAAATACTTTTAGTTTTAATTATTTTCAAGTACAAAGATTGCATTATTCTAAGAAGATATCTTTTCGATACACGGATTGATTGCATTATATAGTTTTTATGTTTTTATAGACACAATATCGTTGTCGGTCGCAGATATCCACCATACATTTAAATACGTGTTTTATTGTTTTAAGATTCTCAAGCTATTAATACGTGTTGGTTTTCGGAATTTCGGCTCGGTTACCGACTGTAACGAGAGAAAAAATTAATTCTCGAACATATTATGACGGGCAGGTACGTTCTGCTGAACAAGACACCGCGCCGACGCAACAAAAGTCCGGAGAATAATGAACTCGCGAGTGACCGAATAAATCAAGTACACCTACCGAAGGTGCCGTTTGAAATGTTTGTCGCAACGATGACCTTTAAAAATGTCAAATTCCCGTGGAGTTTCATTTGTTTCATAATTTTTTCCCCTTCGTCCGTAGTTAAAAATTAGAGTAATCCGATCCCGTTGTTGACCGCGCGCTAACACACGTGGCCGGCACATAAAACAGCGCATAACATAATAATTTTTCACAAAGTGTATCTACACATTATATCGTTTAAGCGGTTTATAATCCGTCCGTTTGTATTTTCGAAAAAAAACACCGACCGATTTGTCATCCAATTATAACGTCTGCTACGACCTGACGCTTTCCAATTAAGATAATACCTACCCGAATGCCTTGCGTGTGCGTATGCTACAAGAAGATACTGTAAGATAAACACACCGCTCGAATACCACGTGTGTAATATGAAATTCAATGTGCAAAAATTGGTTAATGTAAATTAAAATATATTTAATACCAGTATACTTATATATTTATGTATAAAAATTATCACATATCCCAATATTATTCTAAAAAACCATAATAATTAAGTTGAAATTCAACAAACGTTACTCTCTTTGAATAAATGTAGACTTAAAAAAATGAAGTCTCTGATAAAATTATAAGAATACAGTATTGTGATTTAACGCAAAAACTGCAGTTGTCGATATAGTACAAAAAAAAAAAAAAAAAAAATTATACATCGTTTTATATTTGTAAGACTAATTTGGTCTTGACGTGTAAACTTATTCGAAAACGTATTGCATCTCATCGATCAATATAGCGTTCACGGAGGCATTAAACCTGATACCGAAAACATTAATATTAGTTACATGGATTGACCATGGTCAACCTTAAATTTAAGTTGTTTTTTTTTTTTTTCATCGAAAATAAATCGTTTTTCGCGTATCATGACCATTCATGACCGTACATCATGTAAATGCCCAACTCAAATACCGTCGGAAGAAAACATTTAATACCAACAGGAAAATTATGCGCTGCGACGGGTTCGTACACGAAAATAAAAACGTTACGTTTTGCAACCACGCGCGGGTGTGAAACAACAAAAAGCGCTGACAATACGAATAAGTCGTGTAAAACGTTTATACTTGTCGACTGCTGCGTGTCAACGAACCAGCGGCCGGAGAAGGATCTCAATAATTACATTGTTTTGCGGAGAACGTATTCGGCAAAGGATCGCGGTACAAAGCGGTACGTTTATAATAGCTGTCGCGCGTTATCCTTTTGTGCACGTGCACACCAACACGGGCATATCGTATCAAAAACGCATTCGACCCGGGACCAACAACAGGTACGATAATAGTAATAATAATAATAATATGTATATATATATATGAGTATACAATAAACCGCGAAGGTAGCCTACACGTACATAATCATCACTTTATACGAATGTCTATAAAGATATTATACGCGCGTATACCTTAAACTACCCGACTGTATGAACCGCACTGCCGCCGCGCCGGTCTCTCAGCAACACATCAACGTGTACGCGTATACGATAGTCGATTGGTTTCATTCAAAA